AAAAAAAAAAAAAAAAAAAAAAAAAAAAAAAAAAAAAAAAAAAAAAAAAAAGAAACCACCCTGCCAAGATGGAAGGCATCTGCACCCCAAAACCTGTGTGCCCTCACCTGGTCTCCTCAGCCAGGTGAGGAAGAGCAGAGTTGCCCACGCAGCCACCCCAGGACTCGGCCCAGGGGTTCAGGTTTTGAGGTGACCAGAAAACGCCTTCCCGCACCACGGGAGTACCCACAAGTGACACCTCGCTGGTGGCCCTGGCAGCGTTCAGTCCTTATCCTCCTGGACCCTCTATCAAGCTCCCACACCATTCCAAGCCACAAAAAAAAACCCAACCCAAACTGTAGATTTGGGGGAGCAGGAGAGGGAGGAAGGTGAGGTTGGTGTTTCCTAGTGCTCATCCCTCTGTGGAAGGAGACTTGTCGTAGCCAAGAGCTCTCTCAGCCCCTTGCAGGGAGCGTGGGGGCCGGCAGCCTGTTGCTGTTCCTGTTCCCCAAGAACTGGGGACTGGGAACAGCTCGTGGTGAGGGAGAAGCCTTGGACAGAGGTGGAGGGAATCCCCTGGGCAGTGCGTGTGTTAAAGGAGTCCCAGGCACGTTCCTGCCTCTGTATGCTCTGCTCTTAGCTTGATTTCTGACAGGCAGCCTCAATTTTTGGAAAGGTTTTCTGGAGAGGCTCAGGAGGAGGGGAAATGCTGCAAATACAAGGAATTTTCCAGAAGCTTGGACCTGGAGGAGGTTGGGGAGTCCAGGTGTCGGTGGGAGCTGTTAGCACTTGGCTTTTGAGATGGTTTGAAGTGAGAGATGAGGCTGGAGGTGAGCTCGGAGGCGGCGCTGGGAAGGGGCGAGATGAAGAAAGGAGCCAGTAGCAAAGCGAGCCGCTGCCTGCAGGTGTGACCCCGGGAGGGGACCTGCAGGGTCAGCCTCTTTCTGGGGGGGTAGCTGGAACCTGGTGGGGAAATTCTGTCCCCACAACTTTCAGCCTGAGACTTAAAAAAAATCCCTCTTCTCCCTTTCTCCTAGCCTTTAACTAGGAAAAGCCTCTGAGTTTTGAGGCAGCGCTGGAGCAGCCCTCCGCACTGCAGCTCCTGCGCTGCGGTCGCATCTCTTACGGCATCGCTCCCCTGTTCCAGCGTGGAAAACAAGTTATTTCCCTTGGCTTTTGAGCGTGCTGGAGAGCAGCCTCTCGCTGGAAACCTTGGGGAGGCTCAGGGAGGAGCAAGCAGCCACATGAAAGCGCTGGCGAACGTGCTGGCAGCCCCTTGGCGGGCTCGGCTCCTCGGAGGGATCCCCGCAGGATCCTTTGCTCAGGGCTTTCACTTTACGGGGTGCAGCCAAGTCTCCCGAGAAGGGAAAGATTCAAAGATGCTGACAACTTGTTTAAACCTCACGAGTCTTGTGGCAAATGGGATTATTCAAGACAGGCTTGAGAGGGAACAGTGTCCTAGCAGAAATGCTTAAAAAAAAAAAAACCAAACCCTTCAGGATCTGAAACCCAAGCTGGCCATGGCGCTCTGGCTCGTGTGCCCTGACCAGGAGCCAGCTAATTAATAGTTGATCTTGCCTTTCTTATATTACTGTAATGAGGGGAGCTGAGCTTGGGTACAGTTTGCTGACATCCCCAAATTACGCAGGGATTGTCCTAAGCAGGAGGAGCCCCCCCAGAAGCAAGGGCCATGTCTCGGGGTGTTTATTACGGTGCCATTTTGGGGGATAACACCAAGGAGAGGTGGAGGGGAAGGCCACTGCCTCAAGAGGGGTCCTGGAAGTACAGATTTCCTTTAAAGTGTTTAAAAGCTCTTTCAAAGAGACCAGATTAACTGGTCCCAGCAGATTCTTCCCTGAGCTGAGCCCTCTGGGGGGGTGCAGAGAGGATCTGACCCCCCCCTGCCCTGCTCTTGAGTGGCTTCAGGGATGCTCAGCCTCCAGCCCTCGAGCTCTGAGGCCACCTCAGCCCTTTCCTTTCGCTCCCTGAACTCAAACCTCCCCGGCACAGGGTGCTGCAGCGGTGCAGCCTTGGCACTTGCGGAGGAAAACCTGCCAGTAAGAACCAAATAATAGCAATGCTGACATTCCTGAAGAAATGAACTATCTCTGGTCTCTCTCAAAAATACATTTTCTTGAATTGTGTTTCCAGCTTGGCAAAGGACGCTCAATTTACTGACATGATTTTCCACGCAGT